AGTGGTATTAACTGGGCTTCCCTGTAGGCGCATGGATATTATCCTATCACAGACAGGGCTGTTCCTCATGACTGATCTGGATATGTTCTTTTTGACAATGAATGCAACACCATTCCTCTTCAATTTGTCATATCTGGCACAGCCCACTCCAGATACATACATATCTATGAGGGGGCGGCAAAAGTTCATGGAAAAATTTCATTGTCTTTTCATTCCATTTTTCCATGAACTTTTTGAAGTCCCCTGATATATCTATGTGTGTCGGTAGTGAATATCTTTATGGATTGTGCGTATCTAAAGGTAACAGCAGATTTAGTGCAATGAGTAAATAAGGGAACCTGACAAACAGTACTCACTATTTTATGGTATGTACTCATTTACAGCACTCTCTGATGTCACCTGCATCTAACCAAGCCACCAACATCTCCTGCCTTGACAAGTACAACAGTACCTGACTCCCCACTTGCTTGCTGTGCTCTCTACCATTCTCTTATACAGAAGACATGGTGATCTTTCACTGCTCTTTCCTCAGGCTCCACAGTCTGGCTGAATGGTGTCTGTTCCCATCAGAAGCTTCACAGTATCAATTCGCTCTGCCTCGAATGCTCTTCCCTCTTCTTTTAGCTCCCTTTTATCCTTTATGCTATAATTAAATCTCACTTCCTCAGAGACTTCCCTCAATCCCTGATGCCAACTATGTTGCCCTGCTCTAGTCACTATTCCCATAGTTTCCCACTATTCTATAAATGATGGGAGGGCAGAAACCATGTCTTTTTTTTCCTTCAGTGTATCCCCAACACTTAGCATACTTGACACATGGTAGATTCAAGAAATAACTAAATGAGAAGAGTACTGGAAAGAAAGCAATAGAATAGCTGCTGCTGGGAGAAAAATGCTCTCAAAATTTTGTGCAAAAAATGCAAACGCTTTCATATAGGAAAGTAAAGCTACCTTCCACCTATAATTAGTAAAACATATGTCAGTACTCACCAGAAGTGCTTTTCTGCTTTGGAAACATTGCATGATGGGGAGCAGAAGGTGACTGGAATGTATTTGTAAGGTTTTCAGAATCCTGACTTGCAGTTGTCCTTATAAACTCAACAGCAGCCTGTAGAACTCGGAACTGCAGTGCCACAGCCATAGCTACAAACAAAGACACTGGGTTGTTTTCAAGCTAGGTGGGTGCTAGTTGTTTAATTATATGCATTTTTATATTCATGCAATAGCTAAATTTCAAATAATGTGTCATTAATTTAAAGATACATATTTTAAAATGTTGGAAAACAAGGGTTCTTGATGGTAGCAAATATGTGTAAACTGTTTTAAAAAATCATTTTAAAGTAAAGTTCCAGATAGCCGCTTTGCAAAATTCAGTTAAAAATACTAGCTTGTAAACTTATTTCCTTGTATTACACCAAGGCATCACTTTTCCTATATTTAACCCCTTAAAAACACTTCTTTGTAAAAACAATAGATATGATCACAAACTTAAGGTTAGCGCCTTCAGTGAACGAGTTTTCAAGAAAAAAAGATTAGGTTCAAATAACATGTTTAGTTTACTCTACAATTCCACCTGAACTCATAAAAATGAGATCTTACTTTGTGTCCTCCTATTTTTGCTGTTTTGAAGATATCCAAGCAGTACAATAAGGTCTTCAATAACCCTAAAATACTGTGAGCCTGAGGAACTGCAAGCATGAATTGTAACTGCTTTGAAAAGTTGCTGTATATCACAGGCAAGCAGTTTGTATTCACTCAAAGGAACACTAAAGATAAAAGAAAAGAAAAATGAACAGAACGTTTGTAAGAGAAAGAGCGAGTAATTTAAAGCAATGACAAAAACCCAAACCAGTGTCATCACGTTGATTCTGACCTGTGTGAAGGGTTTCTGGGCTGTAGATAGATCTTAATGGCAGCAGAAAGCCTTCCTGTTTTTCCTGGCAGGTAGTAGATTCAAACTGCTGACTTAGGGTTAGCAACTCAACACGTAACCCACCAGGCCACCAGGGCTCCCAAACAAAGACAACTGGGTTTAAATCCCTGTGTTACTGGCATTAATTAATTGATTGATTGATCCATTTATTCAATATTTATTCATGCTTATGGTGGCACTGTAGATAAGCACTGGACTGCTAACTACAAGGTCGGTGGTTCAAACCCACTAGTCCCTCTTTGGAAACCCAACAATGAGTCATTTTGAATTGGACCCGAATCTAGGGCATTTAACAACAACAATTATAGGACAGTATGGTGAGCTCAAGTAGCGTAGTGGTTACGAATTGGGCTGTGAACCTTAAGGTCAGCGGTTTGAAACTACCAGCCGCTCCGCGGGAGAAAGATGAGGCTTTCTACTCCCGTAAAGATTTACACCCTCGGAAACCCTGTACAGGGTCGCTATGGGTCAGAACCGACTCAACGGCACTTAACAACAACAACATGGTGAGCTCAAAACACAGGTGTTTGAAGCAAAAACAATTCATTCTCCCCTCCTCTGTTATTTTTTAGCTGTGTGATTTTCCACAAGTTACTGTATTGCTCAAATCCTCAATTTCCTATTCCTGATGGGGACAATAACAGTACTTTGGGCTGTGCGTGAATAAGTTGTTGTTAAGTGTTGTCGAGTTGGTTCTGACTCATAGCAACCCTGTATAGTTTCCAAAGAGCAGCTAGTGAATTTGAACTGCTGACCTTGTGGTTCAAACCTATGTTGAAGTCCAGTGCATTATCCCACAGCACTACACATGGAAGTGGGAAAAAACTCAACTGCATACAATGACCACCACCATGGTCTGGAAAATATATATATAAGGGCAATTAATTCTACTTGTCTTCAATCTCTAAATGTCTAAATGTAGGTCATATGAAAATACCTTCTTTTCTAACCAAGCTTTGCTGATTAGAAAAAGTAACTTATGTAACAAAGACGTTCTTTGAGAGCATTTTTTAAAAACTGCATGCTTTAATGAAACCTACTACTAAGATTTTTCCTCTCTAAATTATTTACCAGAATAGAATTTAAAAAATAATTTAAAACTTACTTCTTTTCTAATCCATTCAGCGTTGCTACTGTATTACATAAAACATAGAGTAGACCATTATCCAACAATAGATCTGCTACCTTAGAACAAGAATTTAAAATCTGGAGAAGCAGTAAAAGAGTGTTATGTAAGAGCATGTTGTCATACAGTGAAGTCTCTATTAGTCCCAGAATCGGAATAACAGACCACTTCTGAAAAAGTCCCATGCTTTTCACATCTTCCAGATCAAATCTGTAATAAATAATAAACAGTTATGCAGAGTTAGTAAGAGATCATCCACAAAATAAGAAAAAGTGGCTATAATTGCACGGTTTTTTTAACCCAAATTTGAAGCTACTATAAAAAAATTAATTTGAGAAACAAGTGTTCTTAAGCATTTGGTTTTTTTTTGGGATTTTTTTTTTTACATTAAAAGATCAAATAATGAAAAGCTATTCCTAGTCCATCCCAAGATACACACACAGACATTGAGATGAAAAATTTGTTCTACACTTTCATAGGGTTAACGGACTCAATTCATCATTAAGTGTCTAAAGATTAAGTTAAGAAACCTCTTAGCCCTGACCAAACACCTCCCAAGACTGAGACTGAGGGCTAGGGACATCTAGTTTTGAGGGACAGCTGTGCCAATTGGCATAGGAGAGTCCATGAAGACAACAGTCTACATCCTAGTTTGGGTGGGTAGTGACTGGGGTCTTAAATGCCTGCAGGCAGCGACCTAAGTTCCACCTCTCCGTCTCTTTCATTCTGGAGCAAAGATGAGTAAAGAAAACCAAAGATTCAAGGAAACAATGAGTCCACAGGACTAATGGACCACATGAATCACAGCCTCCCTTAACCTGAGACCAGAAGAACGAGATGGGACCACAAGAAAAGATATCTGACAGGTGGAACAAAACTCATATTCATATAAAAGATCAGATTTACTGATCTGATAGAGACTGGTGAACTCCCCAAACCTTCTAACTTAGAACTGAAGCCACAGCCAGAGCAACCCTTTCACCCACACAGAAGACAGGCCCATTAAGGGAACATCTGGGTGGAGCATGCTCCTCAGAACACTTACCCAAATGACACCAAAAAGGCAGCATCTGCTCAAAAGCAAAATTAAGAAGGCAGGAAGGAGCAGGAAAAGGGCATGAATGGAAATGGGGAGAATGCTGACACATTATGGACTGCAACCAACATCACAGAACAATCTGTGTATGCATTATGGGATGCAAAACTAATTTGTTCTGTAAACTTTTACCACCATACAATACTAAACAGCAATCAAAGAACGCTTGTTTTATGGGCCATCTAGTAAGTGCCGCAAGCTAGTAAAAAGAGGCCTACCAAAAACAATGCATCTTTTTTTTAATATAAGTTTTTATTGTGGATTGAATGAAAGTTTACAGGGCAGACCATCAGTTTTATACTCAACAAATCATACACCTTGTTTCATTACAATGATTGTAATCCCCTCTATGTACCATCAGTTAAGTCTTTCTCTCTATTCATTTCAGCTTATTTTAGAATTATTTTTTTTAATAAACACTCAGGCATATATAATAATTTACACCACCAAAGTGCACATTCTGCAAGTCTGCCTCCTGGCTGCCATCTCTCAGCCCTTCTCTTCCCATGAATCTAGAGTCCTCAGCTGCTCCCTCTCTCCATGTCCCCATCTCTGCCCCCATCACTGTGTCACTGCTTCTCTGGATAGGGTCTTACATTCTGCTTGTGCTCTTCTTCCTTGATGGTACTAGGGTCCTCTGTTCTTGGACTGAAAGATTAACTACTCCCTCGTTTTAAAACAATGCATCGAGTCCCTGTCCCAAAGCTGTTTGCCTCTGTGATGAAGGGAAATCATTTTAGCATTTTACATCTCATATGCTTTACCTGTCAAATCTAGGTAATGATATTTGACCTATTTTTTCTCAAGACTGCTGTGAGAATCAAATGAGGAAATGTAGAATTGTTTCATTCTGTATGCAAATAAAAAGTACTGTTGTACTATTAATTGGCATTACCACAATTACTAGGTTAATTCTCCAAAGGTCTAAATTTATCTATTACAATAGAGACATATTTCTCTACTCTGTCATAGACAGAAATAGCAGTTTAGCTTTTCTGTGAAACTTTTGGTTTTCGAGAAAATACATTTCTATCATCATTTTAATGTGCTAATCCTTCGACATTATGCTGGAGTCAAATCTCAGCAATGACTAGACCCAGAAATTCCAGGCTCACTTTCCTCCAGGAGCTCCTCACATGACACCCACAGAATTGTCTCCGAGACTACTTGAGCCTCGTTACTTTCCAGTGAACCTCAAGTTTATACATCACTGTTGTTCAATCAATTCCAATTCATGGCAACCTCATGTTAATACTGTGTCAAATCCTTTTTTTCTTTAGTGAAACATTCATTTGTATCTGGTGTCAACACAATGAATGAAATACAAAGGAAGAAGTTATATGAGAAAAAATATCATAATGAAAATAATGAATTGGTTCCTCTGGAAAATAACTTTCACCAGATTTTTTTTCCCTTAAAGGTAATCCAACAATTTAAAACAATTAGTTACTAAATTTTACTTTGAAGATTTACAACCCCAAATGTTCAGTTATGGTGGTAGGGAGGACATACTTACTCTTCATCCAGTCCAATACTTCTACGAAAGAACATTTCAATGAAGCATTCTAATAATTCTTGAGTTCCCCGATGGAGATACAGCTGGTTGGCTAACAAGGAAAAGCCTCGATTCTTCAGAAATTTATCTTTTTGCTCCTTAGATGCTCTATTAAAATATGCATCTAATAGCTAAAGAAAAAATGTAAGAAGATTTAGATAATATGTTAAGATTTATTATCTATTCAAATTAATGGACCATACTTGTAAAAACTCAGAACACTGTGCCACTGTCAAAGCAAAACAAAAATGACTGAACTTAGAGATCTTACTACGTCTATGATAGGGAGCCGGCTTCAGTAGTTAGACAGGGGCACCTAGGAGACTGGCATCCTTAGTCCAGTCAAAATAGGATTAGTTGTTGTTAGATGCCACAGAGTTGGTTCTGACTCACAGTAACCCTATGCATGACAGAAGAAACACTGCCCGGTCCTGTGCCATCCTTGCATGGTTACAGTTGAGCCTGTTCATGCTGCTGCCACTTTGTCAATCCATCTCACTGGGGATCCTCCTCTTTTCACTGATCTTCCACTATGTAAAGAACATGATGTCCTTTTCCAGGACATCTGTGGATAATTCTGAAGGACAAAACTCAGGCAACAGCTATAAACTGCACTCTGATCTCTGTGAATCTGTATACACAGACTCTGGACCTCTGTTTGTAGCATTCTCGACAGACTATTCATCCTGAGCACAGGCCTGAATAGCCACTTGCTTCTATCACAATAAATGAAGTATGTCTAGAATGAAATTACTTTTCCTTCCAAAATGAATTCTTCCATGGTTTTGATCTTAAGAGAATGGCAGCAAGTTTTGAAGGTTTTGAAGGCTAACTTGACTTCTGGGTTTTCTCTTCCTCTTGTCCCACATTTAATTATGAAGGTAACTCCTCCATTCCAGTGACTATCTCTAACATGGGTCTCATTCTTTGACTTCTCACTTAGATATGGAGCTCACCAGGACAAGCTATGGACAACATTGCAAACTATGAGTATTCTGGAACACTTGATTGTTCTCATGAGGAATCTGTACTTGGACCAAGAGGCGTTTGTTTGAACAGAACATGGGAACACTGAATGGTTTAAAACCCTGTGCGACACGGTTGTATTCTTTCACCATACTTATTCAACCTGTATGCTGAGCACATAATCAGAGAACTGGGTTCTATGAAGAAAAACACGGCATCAGGATTGGAGGAAGACTCATTAACAACCTGCGATATGCAGATGATACAACCTTGCTTGCTGAAAGTGAAGAGGACTTAAAACATTTACTGATGAAGATCAAAGAGCACAGCCTTTGGTATGGATTGCATCTCAATGTGAAGAAAACAAAAATCCTCACCACTGGACCAATAAACAACATTCTTATCAACAGAGAAAAGATTGAAGTTGTCAAGGAGTTCATTCTTGGATCAACTATCAACACTCATGGAAACAGCAGTCAAGAAATCAAACAACGTATTGCATTAGGCAAATCTGCTGCAGAAGACCTTTTTACAGTAGTGAAGAGCAAAGACATCAGCTTGAAGACTAAGGTGGCCTAACGCAAGCCATGGTATTTTCAATAACCTCATATGCATGCGAAAGCTGGACAGTGCATAAGGAAGAGCATAGAAGAATTGATGCTTTTGAGTTATGGTGTTGGAGGAGAATACTGAAAGTGCCATGGGCTGCCAAAAGAACCAACAGATCCGTGTTTGAAGAAGTGCAGCCAGAGTGCTCCTTGGAGGCCAGGATGGCCAAACTTCATCTCTCATACTTCGGACATATTGTCAGGAGGGACTAGTTGCTGGAGAAGGATATCATGTTTGGTACGGTGGAGGGTCAGAGAAAATGAGGAAGACCCCCAATGAGATGGATTGGCCAAGTAGCAGCACTGATGGACTCAAGCGTGGCAACAACAGTGAGGTTGGCCCAGGATTGGGCAGTGTTTCATCCTACTGTGCACAACATCGCCGTGAGTCGGTACCGACTCGATGGCACTTAACAATAACAACAACAAAGATGTTCGTTTGAGTACTAAGGTGCACCAGACTCAAGCCATAGTATTTTCAATAGCATGTGAAAATTGGGCAATGAATAAGGAAGACTGTAGAGGAACTGATGTATTTGAGTTATGATGTTGGAGGAGAATATTAAAAGTACCATGAACTGCCAGAAGAACAAACAAATCCGTGTTGGAAAAAAATCAGTGAGAGTGCTCCTTAGAAGCTAGGATGGCCAGACTTTGTCTTTCATACTTCAGACTTATTATCATCAGGAGGGACCAGTCCTTGGAGAAGGGCATCATGGTTGGTAAAGTGGAGGGTCAGTGAAAAAGAGGAAGACCCCAATATGATGGACTGGCACAGTGACAGCAGCAATGGGCTCAAGTGTGACAATTGTGGGGGTGGTGCAGGACCGGGCTGTTTCATTCTGTTGTGCATACGGTCACTATGAGTCGGAATCGACTGGAAGGCACCTTACAACATTTATTATTCTTTCTGAAAATATTTCTTTGTTTACAGCATAATAGAAAACACACCTCTTGAATGAATCTTTCCAGCTTCTCACATTACAAGGAACTGCTTTTCATATATTTCCATTCTCCTTTATTAACTGCAGCAGTCATCACAGAATTCCTTACACCTTAGTTGGGTGCATGTACCTCTCCAAAATGAAGGGACTTACAGTAGTCCTCCTTAAGTCCCATATAACAACTAGCCCAGAGTTTTATACATGGAATGGGAGCTCAATAAATAATGAGGGGGAGTGACTAAACGAAATCCTACACCCAGACAAACTCAAGAAAATGAAACTATTTTAAAGACCATCTCAATACTGGATTGTTTTCTAATGGAGACAATTCTGACCCCACGTTCATTCATTCAACAATGTGATTAGGAGCTATCCTGCAGTAGACACTACATGCCTACCCTCAAGTAGCTTTGATTTTGGCATGGAGGATTTAAAACGCAAGTACACAGAGGAATTAACAAAACGACTGCAAAAAAACCCACAGATGCTGTGATACAATAATGGTGCTGTAGGATCAGTACTGGACTGTGAGCCACAAGATTGGCAGTTCAAACCCACCAGCTGCTCCTCAGAAATCTTATACAGGGTCACTACAAACCGAAACCAACTTGACAACACTTAACAACAACAAGAAGAAAATACAATAATGAGGAGCACGGCCAGGGGAAAGATCAAGGATGGCCTCTCTGAAAAGGTGACAACTAAACTGAGATCTGACAATACACTGTAGGAAATATTTTCAGTGAACTGCAAGTTCTTCATAATTTTTGCAAAATCGATATACTGTGGCAAAATATGCTAATTATTGGTAGATTAAATAAAACACTAATATAATTGGATGGTAATATATATGAAAATATGAAATATTAATAACAAACTATTTATATTTTTAAAAAGAAAAACTCACACCATCGAGTTGAGTCCAACTCAGGAAACTGGCCCATAGGTAGTCAAAGGCTGTAAACACTTAAGAAAGCAGACTGCCACATTCCCCCTCGGTGGGTCTGAACCAATGACTGTTGAGTTCATAGTCAAATGCTGTAGCCCCTGAGCCCCTAACATTCCCTGTATCAGTTCATTAACTTTCATTATAAAACAAAGTCCTGGGTCTACCTCAACATACATTTCAAATACTAAATTACACATTTATTTTTCTGAGTTAGAACAACATTGATGTAGCATTGCCCTTACTTTAATAACTCCTTGTTGTATAGCAGGTGACGGGTGGTTCACAAGGACTAACAGTGTTTCTGCCTGAATGAGCTTGTCCATCACGTCTTCTAGCATGACATCAGGCAGAATCAGAAGAACGCCACTTAAGAGGTCATACAAGCCACAGCAAATAGGTATTAAACAGTCTTCTGTTACACTAAAACAGCCAAAAACGTCTCATTAACGCATTATCAGGGAGCAAAATATATGCTACTACTTTAAGAGCTGTGATGAGTATCAATACCCGCTCTAAATATGAGACAAATGTTCATAGGATTTAAGAAAATGTTTTCTGGTATAACTGATGAATTTATTGTTAGTTTTTATCACTGGTATATTTGAGGAATACAGTCTACTACACATATACCTGCAATGTCTAATACAGTAGACACAAACCACACATAGCCAAACTAATAAAATTGAAATTAAATAAACACCAACTCAGTTCCTCAGATGCTCTAAGCCACACTTTAAGAGTTCAATAGCCACATGTGGTTAGTGTACTGGGTAACAGATTTAGAACACGTCCATTAATGTATATGGTGTATTATTATCAAGAGTGACAGAATGAAAATACTTCTAAATTCTACAAAGAAACAGCACACGGAAGGAGGGCCCGAAGGCGCACACACACCTATGAGCACTTGTAGTTCGCTTGTAGCTCTGCTCATAATCAAGAGAAAAGGACAAGTTTTCCCAATGATCAGTGTTCCCAGCAACAAGATTTGGCCAACGGCCACGAGCTGTAGATCCATTCTGTGTGGAAAAGGCCAGTCCTAGGCTAGCGATAGTGCTGTGGCTTCGCTGGAAGGAGGCAAGCCCTTTGGGAAAATCAGGACGGTGTGGGGAGGACTCGTTCCCAGGACTGTCATCGTCTGGGCTGGGGTCTGCACCAACTTCTTTAGGACCTACTTTGACCACTGGAAAACTTAGTTTTTCTTTGGCAACGCCATTGACAGAGGTTTCCATTTCACAGATCGTTTTTGCAGATTCACAGCTACTGACGAATGCGTCCTCTTGGCCTTTTTTCAGGGTCTCAGAACTCGCCTGAGGGTTCCATTGCTCTGGGTGAGTGGCAGCATAACTATCTGCAATACTTCGTAACTTCTCAGTACTACCACCCAAACTGGCTGTCAGTTTTTGTTGTTGCATTAGTGGTGACGTAGGGAATGCTGGTAGGCTTCTAGAACGCAGCATGTGAGCAACACCACGGTGTGGAATAGCATTGGAGGAATCGTTTCCTGACAAAAATAGACAAAAAATGATCACCTGAGTGAACCACTATCAGTCACCACTAGCATAATAGTCCAGTTAGCTAGCCCTGGTTACTTCAAACCACTGATCTTTGGGTTCGCAGCCAAGTGCTTCACCACTGGGCCACGAGCGATCCTTATGAAAAAGGGCAGTAGCCAGAAAGGGAAAAGACATGAGGCCAATTCACAAGCAGGAAGCCTGCACTTATTTTACCTTTTAAGAAATGAGGTAGAATATATTATTATTGAGAAGTCAGCTCAAACTCGTAACGACCCTGTATAGGGTTTCCAAGGCTTTAAATCTTTGTGGGAGGAGAAAGTCTCATCTTTATTCCGTGGAATGGCTAGTGGGCTCGAACCACTGACCTTGGGGTTCGTAGTACAGTGCTTACCCTACAGAGTAACTATGACATTACAAACCCTGCTGTGGTTGGAGACCCTTGTCATGGCAGGTATTTTCTGAGGTCTCTAGTAGCTGTCAGCCAAGTGAAGACAGAAATGGAGATGACATGGTGTTAGACTGACCTCGAGTTTAGTCAAGTGAAGACAGAAATGGAGATGACACGGTGTTAGACTGACCCAGAGTGAGGGTTTTTCAGTATAAGAATGCAAAAAGGTCAAGAGGACAAAAAATTATGTTGAAATTCTTAGATAATGGGATCAGGTGGATAGCGAAAGGTAAAGCAGAAAGGAACCTGGGATGTTGCGAAAGAATCTAGAATGAGAGCAGGCTGTGTTTCAGAAGTAGGGAATGATAAAGTCCAATACAGGTGCATGCATACTGGTAGACAGAGAAGAAGGTCCCAGAGAACTGGAGGCTGGAGTGTGGAATGACCATTCAATGACAAGTGATTGTTTTAAGCAGGAAGGAGTGAGCCACACCAAAAGTTTTCAAGACAATGGGAAAACAAAACAGACAAGAAGAAAACAAATGACTCAGATAATGCGGGCCCTACACGTGCTTCCCAAGTTCTCCAGAGGACCTGTGCTCTTGTTGGGCTGAGCTCAAGTACTGTTACTAGAAGGTAAGGAAAACTAATTCCTAAACACACCCGATCACTTTAATCTTCTACTCACTTAGTCTATTATTATCATGCTACAATAGTATGCTAGCATGCACAATGTACTCACTAATATTCAAGACTAAAACCAGAAAGTGTGTACTTCCCTCACTATCACGTTTACCTTCAAGGGGTGAAGCGGAGAAGCCTGATGGATTTATTACCATGACCCCAGGACTACTAAGAGACTCCCCTCCACTGCTGGAGCGTCTCAAGGACTTGATTGACTGGATTTTCTCCTGAAAGATCTTGCCGTCTACAATAAAGAGGAGAAGACAAATTCATTTTAGGGAAAATCTTTTTTTGAGACATCAAACTAAAAAAAAAGGATAAACAAGAAATACAACTTTGAAAGCAAATCATTAAATATGCTTCTTTATAAAAAGATGTTCAGAGAGGAAAAAATAGGACATACTTTTTACTAATAGACACTTGATAAATGAATACTTATCTTCTATAATGTTTTGCTACAGTTTTTTGGTTGAAAATTACTGGTCATTTAGCTTCTACTTCCTTTGCATTTAACTATACTTGCATTAAGTTTATGGTTTACTATTTAATTAGTCACTTAATTATTAATGTGTTCTTCCCAGCGGGACTGCTCATCTGTTCATTCTATGAGGAAGGACTGTGTCTTATTTTTTTTACATATCCCTGCAATGTCTAATATGACTCTAAAAATGGATACTTACAACTTAAACTTCCTTTGTGAGCTTCAAACTGATAAATTCAACTGTCTGGTTTCTTATATGTACCAGAGATGTAACAGATCGGAGTCATCTTTCTGTCCTCTGGTTTGGTGGTGGAGTCACCCACTCACCAGGTAGATACCTGAAGCATCCTTGATCACTGCCTTTCCTGTATTCACATCAAGTCAGGACCAGGTTCTACTGAGTTTATGTCCTATTTCTGGAGCTTTCCTCATCTCTACGACAGGGCCGTAATTCAGGCTCTTGCTATTTCTGACTTGGATTACTGTCACAGTTCTCCAAACACTCTCCGTGATGGACATCGTGTCAATTGCAAACCCTCATAGCTACCAGAATTTTCTTCTGAAATGTCACCCTGCTTAAAACGTATGTGACACGAAATCATTTCCAGGTCAGCAGTTCATCTCTTCAGTAAGCAGGGCTGGAATAGCGAGGGGCTAGCAGTTACTGGAAATACAACAAACCATGTGGAAATGATTTGCACTACATGGCATTTTAAGCAGATTCTTGCAAACCTTGAGCTTGTCACAATAGCAACAGGAAACAAAATCTGCATGTAAGTAGGCCTCCTGCGCTGTACAAAGGCCATCTGTGTAAGTTCTTGTCTCAGCTTCCTCTTTCCTTCTGTATCTACTTTTCTGTACTGGTCTCATCTACTGTTAAACCCTTAACTAACGACAATCGATCGCAGTAGCTCCTTAACACTTTCCCCAGGTTAGATTCCTCACACCCATGCCTGCTAGACAATTACACTATGATTCACTATAACCACAAATGCCAAACATCTAAGACTAAACTTACTCCTTACCATCCTGAGTCAGCCCATCCTAACCTTTACACGTTGCTATATTTACCACTCCTTCCCAATTGTACTATTACTACACCCAGATTCTATCATTTCATATCTCTTGCTGCTGCTACATGCCCTCAAGTCGGTTCCAACTCATTGTGACCCTCTCCGTAGGGTTTCTGAGGCTGTAAACGTTTATAGGAGCAGGGAGTCTCATCTTTCTCCCATCCTATCTCTCACTGGCTACCATAAAAGGTCTTACTGCCCCTAGTTAATCTTACTGAATCCTACTGCAATAGTTTCCTTATAAAAGATGCCATCACTCAACAACAAGGACAAAACAAAATCCTTTAATGAGCCCGGACAGAATGTATGATTTTTTTGGCCTTACATTCAAGGATCTATTTAAAATGAGCTTAGTGAAAACATAAATAAATGATGGTTGTAAACTAATTCATGGCATTCTTTCTTACTACACCTTTGTAGATAACCCAGGCTATTGTGGTTGTTAAGTGCTGTGGAGTCTGTTCCAACTCATAGCGGCCCTCTGTAAGGTTTCCAAGAAGCAGGTGGTAGATTTGAACCACTGACCTTGTGGTTAGCAGCCCAGTGTTTATCCTATGGAGCCACACTAGGAGTCCACAGGTCAATACTTAGGTAAAATACATCACTCTCTGATTCTACTCACATGTTGTTCTTCCCGTTAAGTCATTCTCTTCATATGGAATGCTAATTCTTTATATTACAGACCCAGATTCTACCTAAATTCTTCAATGCCCAGATCAAATAACACGTAACCGATTAAAGCTCTCTCCACAGTTGCCTGATGAAGCCTTCACCCTCTGAAATGTAACTGGGTCTTGCTTTTATCTATTAGGTACTTACCAAATATTATTTCTTGCTGTAGTTATTTGAATATATGTCTCCTCTTGGAATTTAAGCTCTTTAAGGGCAGAGACCGTATCTGCTTCATTTTATAAGATTCTACCATGACTTCCTTGCATACAACCACCACCACTCTCCCCCTGCCCCATACAACAAATATTGAACTGTGAACCACAAAAGTGACAAGAGCCACCAGCCAGTCAGCAGAGGAACCACGAGCCTTTTTGCTCCTGCAAAGATTGAAAAGCCCACGAAACTGTATACAGGGTCACTGTGCGTTGGAACCAACTTGATGGCACATAATATCACCCTGTCCCAATCCCAGTACTTGGTTGGGATAATTTCTAATACATTCAATGAATACCAAACAAGTGGGAAGAAAAAAATAGTAGAGACATGTAAGATCTAACAAAAATGGTTTTACCTACCTATATGCAAAGAGAAGTAGAAGTTTGTGGGGTTGTGACAAACGTAAGTGTTAGTAGGAGGGTGAACTGCTAAAAGGAAATTGAAGATAACTGTCAATAATTCCAAATCAGGGGGAGATCCAAGGACTTCTGCTATAATTTTCACAAATGATCTACAAACCTCTCGGGGCATGGATGTAAACTGCCCCTCTTTGTGTTCCTGGAAAAAAAAAAAAAAAAAAAAGAAATCAAACTCTCTTTAGAGTTAAAGAGAACTATCAATTTAACCAACATTTTTCAACTAAGTAGATATTCTTTTTAAGATAGATTTGGGTCTATTTATTACTCTAGTCAAAAGTATGTGCCATTAAATTGACTCGCTATTTCTCAATGCAGGAAATCTTACTGTTCTATTGATGCTGTTAAAGTGCCACTGAGCCAGTTTTAAGTTACAGCTACCTTGTATAGGTTCCCGAGGAACAGCTAGGTGGTTTTGAACTGCTGACCTTATCAGTAGAGCAGTCCAATGCTTATCTTACAGCAAAACACCAGGCCTCATCTTACCATTATGATTAATCAACATAGATGGCAAGGTAAGTTTAGCCCATTTATCTTAGTTAAAAAGGAGCCCTGGTGGTACAGTGGTTAAAGCACCTGGCTGCTAACCGAAAGGTCAGTGGTTCGAAAGCATCAACTTCTCCATAGTATAAGGTGTGACAGCCCATCCCTGGGAAACCACAAGGCAGTTCTACTTTGACCTTGAGGGTCACTGTGAGCTGGAATTGCCTCTTCGGCAGTGGTGTTTCAGGGAACTGAGTCAAAGACGTATTTTAGCACTTATGAGCTTGGACTCAGAAGCCAAACACCCAGGTTTGAATTCTGCCTCCCCAATTAGCTGTGTGGCCACAGTATGTTAGTTACCATCACTATGCAGCAAGTTCTCTATAATATGGAATAATTGTAGGTTAAGGAGCTCTGGTAGCGTAGTGGTTTATAAGTCGGGCTGCTAACCTCAAGGTCAGCAGTGTGAAACTACCAGTGGTTTTATGGGAGAAAGATCTGCAGGCTCGCAAATCCTATACAAGGTCGCTATGAGTCAGAACCGGATTCCTCGGCACATCACCACTTCAAAGGTTAGTGTAAGGATTAAATGAATTAGCATAAACTCTTGTAATTGCTATTGTTGTTCAGTGCTGTTAAGATGGTTCCAGCTCATAGTGACGGTGTATAGGGTTTCTGAGGAGCAGCTGGTGGGTTTGAACTGCTGACCTTGTGGCTCGTAATCCATAAAAGCTCTTACAATAATTCCTCACCAATATTAAACTTCATATCAATGCTGCCTCTTATTATTACTAGTACCATTAATTCTACCACTACTATTACTACTACTATTTCTATGACGACAACAACTATTGCTACAGCTACTACTGTAAAAGCAGAAGGAAACTTTTCTGATAGATAAAACTGGTTAAATAGGACTCTTATATTTACAGAATGTAAACAGTCAAAGTGTTCAAATTACTAGTTTAAACCACACAAATATAGCTAGAACTCACAATCAGGCCTTTGGACTCTTTCTATCTCCTCATCTACTGCCTGTAATACTAACATTGAAGACAGATATAAATAAACTATTTATACCCTCCAATTCTACCTCCCCAGTGGCCTGTAAATCAAGAAGACTAAGAGGTAAATGTCTTCATTTTCCCTCTTTCTATGTCCTAATGTATGACTTGTCTCAAGCACCACTCTTGTGCACTGCTGAATCACAGAACAGAAAGTCTAGATGTTAATGTTGACACTATGTAGTCTGACCACCTCATATTTAAGATGACCACACCAATTCTACTGAAGAAAACACAAGATTCACCGCTATCAAGTGGCCGAGCCAAACCAAGAACACAGATCTCTTGACTTCAAATTGCTATTTCTGCTACAAGCCTCAGTCTTTCCTTCTAGATCACACTCATTGCACCTTCTTAAATGTTCTGGCCCAATTGCAAGCTTGGTTAGAATCACAAACTCGGTGGTTCAAGCTCACCAGTTGCTCCTAGGAAACCCTATACAGGGTCGTTCTGGGTTGGAACTGACTCCGTGGCACTGAACAACAACAAATCTACCCTAGCCCAGATCTCTTCTATCTTGACATCTCTACTAGCACTGTATAGTCACTGGTATCATTGAAATAAAAAATCTCCTCATCTAAATCGATGAAGAGCCTTTTATTAACATTCTGTTTCTCTTTCCTCTTGCTGCTGAACTTTTCAATCATCATTTATACTTGTTGCCTCCAAAGGCCTTCCATACAAGCTGCCTGGTGGTGGCTGGCGGTATGCTGTGGAGTTGGTTCCGACTCATAGAGACCCTGTACAGGGTTTTCTTTATGGAAGCAGAATGCCTCATCTTTCTCCCACTGAACAGCTGGTAGTTCCAAATTTTATGTTATATTTGAGTCTCCTTCAGGTCTTATTTAAACAAAATCAAATCCTATTAACCCTGTCTATATAATTTCTTTCATATATACTCCCCATTTTATACTGTTACTTTGATCACCTTGGTTCATGAGATAACATGTGAATTTGATGATTATTTATTGTGTGCTCACATATGCTACTAAGGAGCCCTGGTGGTGCTAACCACAAGGTCAGCAGTTGGAATTTACCAGCAGCTCTGTGGGAGAACTCTGCAGTAATCTGCTTGCATAACTATTCAGTCTTGGAAACCCAAAGGGGCACTTGTAGTCTGTCCTATAGGCTGCAATGAACTCGATGGCAATGGGTTTGGTTGGGTTTTGAATGTGTACCCATAGAAGCTACGGGACTGCTAGGGTCAGAACGGACTCAACAGCACTTAATAATAACAACAAGAAGACACTAGGGTTACAGTAGGATCATCAACAAAAAACAATATCCCTGCACATGGGAGCTGACAGTGCCAAGGAAATAAACCAAAATCTTAAAAACAACATACGACTAACAAATTGTTATGTATACAAAGTGAGAATCCAACTTTATAAAGGAGAAAGGGCCAAATCAGTAGTAAAGAGCAGAGACAGTTTTTCTCAAGCAGTTTTAAGTTGAGATATGAAGGATAAGTAGGAGTTGGCCAGATGACAAGAACAGGAACAATAACTTTCTAAGCCCCCAAACTTGTTTAAGGGCATGAAAGAAAGTCCAGGCATGCTGAAGTGACAGAAACTGAGGCTGGTGTCGTAGTCAGACCACAGAAGTCGCCTTACGTATCTTCTCGCAGATTTTCGATGTAAGCCCAAGACTCCTGGTGTGGCATTGTAAGATCAACACTGGACAGCGAACCACAAAGTCGGTGGTTCAAACCCACCAGTAGCTCCTCGGAAACCCTATACAAGGTCACTATGAGTTAGAACTGATTTGGAAGCACCAAACAACAATAATGAGAAGCCACTGGTATGGCAAGCAGAGTCCTGGTGTGGCGCTGTGGGGTAATGTGCTGTGGGTTAAAGCCATTTGAGCTGCAAGGTCGGTGGTTCAAGCTCACCTGCTGCTCCTCAGAAACTCTATACAGGGTCGCTATGGGTCGGAACTGAATCGAGGGCACTTAACAACAACAACAACATAAAGGCAGAGAGAAGATTAAACTAGAAGCAAGACCACAGCACACTACAATGCAGCGGAAGTGAGTACCACTTTTTAATATTTTGGGTAAATGAGAGAATTCATTTTCAAGATGCTAATTTTAGCACACAGATCTTCAGTAATGAACACTTATAACGTCTTAGTTAAGGAATATGGTGCAAGTTAAAATTTCACTATTGTTGATGTTCAAGACAACACAAATTATTCTATCCCAACATAAAGAAACACCTCAGAAACTTAGTAGTTTTATTTTCGGTGAGTTGTGAACAATGATAATGTGAAGCTCAAACTATAAAAGCCATGACTGGAAAACTCCTATGTTTATTTGTTGAAAGAAAGGATTCCAGAGAGTAGGGAAGTATGGAGAAGAGAAAAAGATCCCGCTACAAGTTCCACAAAAACCAGATGTACATAGAAACAACAACAACAGATGTTATCAAGTCTGTCCTGACTCATGGCAGGCCCATGTGTGTCAGAGCAGAACTGTGTTCCAGAGGCTCCCCAAAGGCTGATTTCATGGAAGTAGATTAGCAGGCTTTACCTCTTAGGTGCCTCTGGGAAGATATGAACCTCCAACCTTTCACTTAGCAGCTGAGCACTTCATTGTTTGTGCCACCCAGAGACTCCCTGGATGTCTATAGTGTTATTAAACAGCAACAATTGCAAAAACTATTTGTAAAAGTACCTGCAAAACCTGACAAGTCAGTAGGAAGTGATGAACCACTCGAGCTTTCAGTAACTGCTTAATATTAAACATCTGCTGGTGGTGATCTGCTCTGATGAGGATTTCTAGAGCTGCTAGCAGGGTTTCCCAAACACCTTCCTGAAAATATAAACAAAAACCAATTAGCACACAGCTACGGAAAGACATGCTACATCTTTTTAGAAGACATGTAATTTACCAGTCTAATATTATGCATAAGTTCAGTGTCAAAGATGATTTAAAAAAAAAAAAAAGTAAATCTTGACAGTTTGGTTTTCCGGTTGGCGGTGGCAGCAGAGCAAATTCAGATAGGCTCTGTAGGGGAGCGGCTGAAATCCCAGGCATGTGGCTCTCACGAAATCTTCACCAGAGCTTTGGATCTGCCATAAAGGTCTGAGCATCAGTTTCACAAAACCGCAAGCAGAAAAATCACAGTATTAAGAAAAACACTGCCTTTTGAAAATCAGCACGGAACTCCCTGTGCAGTCATCCCACCAGGAGGAAGTCAGAGGGCAGGACTACAGCCAGACGGACAAAGGGCACCAGCACTAAAAGCAAGGAAGCAACAGCTGTGAAAGGAGCCGTGGAGGCATTTTACGTTTTTTTCCATCCCCTTCACTGCCGTGCCCTCTTTGCCCAGCCTGAAATACCTTCAGGCAGGTAAGTGTGCACACCCTAAAAAAGGTCCAGTGATGACCACACATTCCCCACGTCATAGAAAGAGCCCCACCTCATGGGACTCCCTCTGTGGCCATCCCACCCAGAAGGAAGTCAGAGGGTAGAACTACAACCAGACCAGCAAAGGGCACCAGCGCTAAAAGCAGGGAAACGATATTTGCAAAAGGAAGCGTGGAGACATTTTACAATTTTTTTTTCCACCCCTTCCCTGTCATGCCCTTTTTGCCCAGAGCAGATGCCTACAGGTGGGTAGGAGCGCACCCCCTAAAAGACCCAGTGTTGAGACCACAGCTTTCCCACAACAGAGAGAGAAAGAGCCCCATCCCACGGGACTTCCTCTGCGGCCATCCCAGGAGGAAGTCAGAGGGCCGGACTACAGCCAGACCAGCAAAGGGCACCCGTGCTAAAGCAGGGAGGTTCTTGTCTCTGCTTTTAGATTGCTTCTACTTTTGGACCATTTGATCACACATTTTTCCTGGAGGTGGGAGCTTTTTCTCCCTACGTTACCCAAGAAGTGACAGCAATCGTGGCCATATAGCCAAGCTACAAGCATACCCCATAATATTCCACCATTAAGACAAGAGCCAATAACAGTCACTAAGCATTACATGTGAAAAGGGAAGCCTATCTCCTGATCATATCCACCAGGAGATACCCAGTAAGCTTAATAACAAAACAAAAAATATCCACATAACTATTGGAAATAATGAACAAAAAACAACCAAAGATATCAAAACATGTACAAAAACAGAAGAGAGTAGATAAGGGAAATGAGCTGGAGACAGACAAAGGCTTTCTAGAAGAGGAAGAACAGGATTTGGATATGCCTTTGAGAAAGAACTCAGAAGAATGATATGGAAACAAATCCAAATGCTCTAAAACAGGGTGGAGGAAAACAAGGAAGAACTCAGGAACGTACACTAAGAGCAATAAAAAAATATTGATACAGCATTGGAAACAATTCAAACCCTGCAAAAAGAGGTTCAGATGATTAATAATAAATTATCAGAAATGGACAATACACTGAAAGGGGAAAGGAGCAGAACAGAAAAGATGGAATCCAGAACTAACAAGCTGAAAGACAAATCTCTCAATATTGCTAAGACAGAAAAGCAAGCTGAAAAAAAGAACAAAAAATCTGAGGAGAGTTAAGATTCATGCTGGATAACATGAAGAGGAACAACTTAAGAATTATTGGCATTCGGGAACAGGAAAAATCAGAGAAGTCCACAGAGGAGATAGCTGAAGAGCTTCTGGGAGAAATTTTCCCTAACATCTTGAAAGATGAGATGATAAACATTCAAGAAGCTGAACATACCCAGGAAGGACAGACCCCAAAAGAAAGTCACCAAGACATATAATAATCAAGCTCTCCAAAATCAAAAGCAAGGAGAGAATTCTAAAAGCAGCCAGGGAGAAGAGAAGTGTCACTTATAAAGGCAAGCAAATTAGATTACGTTCTGACTATTCAGAACTAACCATGCAGGCAGGAAGGCAATGGGTAGACATATACAAAATCCTACAAGAAAAAAACTGCCAACCAAGAACTGTCTATCCAGCAAAACTATTAATCAAATATGAAGGTGCAATCAAAACATTCCACAACAAATAGAAACTGAGAGATTTTATCAAAACCAACCCAGCACTTCAAAACATCCTAATGGGAGTTCTGTGGACTGAAAACCAACAAGAACAGACAACAACCAGAGATTGGCAGGCATGGAAACACCACCTGGAACTCAGTCAACAGACAGAGTCCAAAACAGAATAAGGCTACAACAACAAATTCAGAGGCGCTGGGAGGTCAACTGAAGGTCAAAATTATATCAATGACAGAGATCCAGGTGGTGAGGAAGTTGGGTAGATTACAGGATACAATAGATTCTCTTAAACAGAGAGAAGAGTTAGCAGACTACAAGGTCACCCCAAAGAAAGTTAATACTTCACAACGTACCATGAAAATGAACTTCCAAGCAGAACAAGCAAACATGAAAACTAAGAAACCGACAAGAAATAGTACAAAAAACACAAACCCAACACAAGAAGGCATGCAGAACAAAAGAACGAGCAGCACTACCAAAAAAGTTAACATAATGGCAGCAATTAATTCATACCTATCGATAATTACATTGCATGTCAATAGATTGAATGCAGAAGTGAAGAGACAGAGAGTGGCAGAATGGATAAGAAAACAAGACACTTCAATATGCTGCCTGCAAGAGACACACCTTACACACAAAGACAAAAACAGACTGAAAGTTAAAGGATGGAAAAAAATATACCAAGCTAACTGCAACAATAAACATGCAGGAGTGACAATACTAATCTCTGACAAAGAAAACTTTAAGACAAAAACCAGCATGAGAGACAAAGAAGGACACTATCTCATGGTCAAAGGGTCAATTGAACAAGACAAGATAACCATAATCAATATCTATGATCCCAATGAAAGGGCATCAAGATACATGAAGCAAGCCTTACTAGAATTGAAGAAATAAATAAATAAATCTACAATTACAGTGGTAGATTTTAATATGCCACTTTCGAGAAAGGACAGAACAACCAGAAAGAAACACGACAAAGTTACAGAGGAACTAAACACAATCAACCAACTTGACATCAAAGATGTACACAGAGCATTCAATCCAACAACAGTACAATATACATTCTTCTTCAGTGTACATGGAACATTTTCCAGAATTGACCATGTGTTATGTCACAAGCAAGCCTCCATTAATTTACAAACATCAAAATTCTACAGAGCATCTTTTCAGACCACAATGTTATAAAACTAGAAATCAACAATAAGACCAAAGAAATAGAGTCGAATACATGGAAACTGAACAACACCCTGCTGAAAAGTGACTGGGTAAAAGAAGAAATTAAATGTGAATTCACAAAGTTCCTAGAAAAAAATGACAATGAAAACACAACATACCAAATCTTTTGGGACACGGCGAAAGCAGTGCTGAGAGGACATTTTTTGCAATAAGTGCACACATCCAAAAAGAGATAAGAACCAAAATTAACACATTAACATAGCATCTCCGACAATTAGAAGCAGACCAGCAGAGGGAACCTACAGTCACCAAAAGAAAGGAAATAATAAAGAGCAGAGCAGAAATGAATGAAGATGAAAAACAGAAAAACTATAGAAAGAATCAACAGGACAAGAAGTTGGTTCTTTGAAAGGATTAATGAAATTGAGAAACCATTGGCAAAACTAACCAAAGAAAAGAGGGAGAGGACACAAATAACTAGCATTAGAAATAACAAGGGCAATGTCACAACGGAACCAAACAAAACCAAAAGGACAATAAAACAGAATACTATGAAGAGTTGTACTCCAACAAATTCAAACACTTAGAAGAGATGGATATACTTCTAGAAAAAAATGACCTACCTAAACTTTCTCAGAGTGAAGTAGAAAGATTGAACAAACCCATAAAAAAAAAAAAGAAGAAATTGATCAGGTCATCAAAAAACTCCCAACCAAAAGAAGTCCAAGTCCAGGAACTCACAAGTGAGTTCCACCAAGCATTCAGGGAAGAACTGTCACCAATTCTACTCAAATTCTTCCAGAATATAGAAAACGATGGAAAACTCCCTAATACTTTTTATGAAGCAAGCATAACCCACACACCAAAACCAGGGAAGAGCATCACTGGGAAAGAAAACTATAGACCAATATCCCTCATGAACATAGACACAAAAATACTCAACAAAATCCTAGCCAACAGATTCCAACAGCACATCAAAAAAAAAAAAATAATACAACACGATCAAGTGGGTTTCATAAAAGGGATGCAAGGATGGTTCAATATTAGAAAAACAATCAACATAATCCACCATATAAAAAAGAAAAAGGAAAAGAACCACATGATTATATCAACTAATGCAGAGCAGGCATTTGACAAAATCTAACGTCCATTCCTAATAAAAACACTCAACAAGGTAAGAATTGAAGGGAAATTCCTCAACATAATCAAGAGCATATATATAAAACCAAAAGCCTACATCACTCTCAATGGAAAGAAACTGAAACATTCCCTCTACCAACAGGAACCAGACAAGGATGCCCTCTATCACCACTCCTATTCAATATTGTGCTGGAGGTTTTAGCCAGAGCTATACAGCATGATAGAGAAATTAAAGCATCGAAATAGGCAAAGAGGAAGTAAAACTCTTTCTATTTGCAGACAATAGGCAAAGAGGAAGTAAAACTCTTTCTATTTGCAGAAATTAAAGCATCGAAATAGGCAAAGAGGAAGTAAAACTCTTTCTATTTGCAGACAATATGATAGAAAACCATAAAGACTCAGTAAAAACCTACTAGACCTCTTTGGAAGATTTAGCAAAGTGACAGGGTATAAGATCAACATACAAAAATCAGTTGGATTCCTCCGTAGCAACAATGATATCACTGAATAGGACATTAGGCA